GGGGGCGTTGGCTGCCCCCGGGGATCCACCCCGACCCCCGGCCCCCTGACGAGGCCGACGTGGTGGTGGTGGGGGGCGGCGTGGTGGGCTGGTCTGTGGCCTACTGGCTGAAGGTGCTGGAGGGCCGGTTCCAGCAGCACGGGATGAGGGTGCTGGTGGTGGAGCGGGACCCCACGGTGAGACACCCCCTCCCGGGGCAGGGCGTGACCCCCCTGAGACCCTCCTGATTGCTGGGGGGGTGTCCTCCGTGTCAGTATTCCAGAGCCTCCACGGTGCTGTCGGCGGGGGGGATCCGGCAGCAGTTTTCCCTCCCGGAGAACATCCAGATGTCCCGGTTCTCTGCCAGCTTCCTGCGTGACATCAATGTGTGTGGGGCTGCTTGTGGGGGCGGGGGATGGTGGTTTGGGGGGTCCAGCCCCGCTCACTGGGGTCTCCTCCTCTCCTCAAGGAGTACCTCGGGGTCCCCAACGAGCCCCCCGTCGACATCCAGTTCCAACCCTCGGGGTACCTGTTCCTGGCCTCCCTGGAGGACGCTGCCGAACTGGAGGCCACTGTCCAGCTCCAGAGGTGGGGGACACACACAGGCCCCCACACTGGGAGGATTTTGGGGAGGGTGGGGGTCATCCTGACCCCCCCTCCACCTGCTGGCTGTCCCCAGGGAGGAAGGGGCGCAGGTAGCCCTGCTGTCCCCCACCCAGCTGAAGGAGAAATTCCCCTGGATAAACACGGAGGACGTGGCCGTGGCATCCTATGGTATGTGGGGGCTGGTGTGGGGACCCCCCTTTAACACCCATCCTTACCCCCATCACCACCCTGTATCCCCACCCTGCTGGGTGCTTCCTGCCGTCCTGCCTTTATTTATGGAAGGGGAGGCCCAGTCCCCCACAAACCGCATTTTTTAGGGGGGGGTCACCCCACAGTGCCTCCCCCCCTGTACCTATGTCCCCCCCAGGCCTGGAGGATGAAGGCTGGTTTGACCCCTGGACCCTCCTCAACGCTTTCCGGCGCAAAGCCACGTCCCTGGGGGTCCACAACTGCTGCGGGGAGGTGCGAGGTGAGGAATGGGGGGAGTGGGCACAGTGGGGTCCACTGGGACATCCACTGGGGACCACCACCCCCAGGACCCTCCACCTTAACCCAAAATCCTCCAGCTTTTGTCACCTCGGCCAACGACGCGATCCCGCTGTCAGCAGAGTCCGCGCGCATCAAATACGTCCATGTGAGTGTCTGTGTGTCTGTCTGTCTGTCTGTGTGACCCCCCCAAAACTCAGGGCTGGTTTCAGAGGGGCCTTGGGTGAAGCCGAGTGTGGATCATGGCTCTGTGCAAAGACTGCACTGGGGGCATCGTCTGGGCTGCCCAAGTCGTGGCAGCTGCCCAGGAGGAAGGAAGATCATGTGTGTTGTTTGGAGGGGTTATTCAGGGTGGCAGTCACTGCTGGGATGTCTCCCAGCCTTTTCTGAGAAATACTGAGGCAGATGAAATGTTATCTGGTTGTGTGTGGCATACATAGGTTTTATGAAATGAGAAGAGAGCTCACAAGAATCCTGCAGTGGCAGCAAGTCTGTGCAAAGCAGGCCTGTGCTGGATCAGAGGGCCAGTGATCCATGACTGTCCACAAGGATTTTAGTTATCACTGGCGATTTCTGCCACAGGAGCTCCACAAAGTGGACCTTGGCCACCTGGACAAAGGCCTCGCGGCCAAACTACCGCAAAAGTAGTTCTGCCCTTGGCCCTGCACGTGCTCCTGGGACAGAACACTGAGTCTGTTCCCGCTGCTCACAGATCTTCATGCCAGACAGCCGGGAGTACCAGCCTGTCGCCTGCTCCATCGTGGTCAACGCTGCGGGCGCCTGGGCCGGGAAGCTGCTGGAGGCTGAGGGGCTGCCCAGGGAGCTGTGCCAGCCCCCCCTGCCCATCCAGCCCAGGAAGAGGTATTTGGGGGGCTCATGGAGGGGGGAGCACAGCCTGGCAGTGCACCCTCTGTTGTGGGTCAGAGTAGGGGCACATCCCAGCACCTCTCCTTTTTCCAGGGGGAGTAAACCCCTTGGTGCTGTTTTGGGGGGTACCTCTGTCATGGGAGGGACTCCTCAGGGGTTTATTTTGGGGGCTCATCCTGGCACCCACTACCCCTCCTTCTTCAAGGGGGCGGAGGGATGGACCCCTTTGGTGCTTTATTTTTGGGGTGGGGGGCTTGCATGCCACCATCTTCCAACCTCAAGGGGGAGAATGAACTCCCTTGGTCTTTTTTTTTTTTGGAAAAAGGGTGTTGCACCGTGGGGCTCCCATTATCCCCCCAGTGCCTCCAGTTCCAGCCCCTCCCTTGTCTCCAGGAGTGCTGTGACCCCTCAATGTTATTTTTTGGGGGGTCTCCACATCCCAGCCCCTAAGATAGGGGGTGGGGGCAGCACCCCTCACCCTATTTTTTGGGGTGTCCCCAGGTACGTGTTCACCTGGCACTGCCCGGACGGCCCTGGGCTCTCCTGCCCTTTCCTCGTGGACACCTCGGGCACTTATTTCCGCCGGGACGGGATCGCCGGGAACTACCTGGGCGGGATGAGCCCCCCTGAGGTGAGCCCAAAGGGGTCCCCCAGGCCACTCACCCCCCTCGTTCTGTATCAGCCCTGTGATGGAGATACCCCCAAAATGTCAGGCAACGGAAGGATTCCAGGAAAATGTATTCCCTGGGCTCACAATGGAAAATTTCTGATAGTGCCTGAGAAAGACACACTGCTCCGTTCTTCCTTGGCTTTTATCATCGCTGCCCCCTCCAAAAAACATCAGTGAGGGTTTATCTCTCCTCATACCAAGGGAGAGAGCCTGGAAGCTTCCTCTGGAACGCAGGAGTTAAAAAAGCCACCTAACTATCTTTGAGGAAGGTGCTTCTCCTTGGGCAGGAGAGCAAACCAAGCTCCAGCCTCCTGGCTATAAATCCTCCTCCAAGGGTATCTATAATCACCCCCCCTCCCAATCCGCGTCTCCCAGGAGGAAGAGCCGGATCCCAGCGAGCTCTCGGTGGACCACGACTACTTCCAGGAGCAGGTGTGGCCCCGGCTGGCACGGCGGGTGCCGTCCTTCGAGTCCCTGCGGGTGCGGGGGGCCTGGGCCGGCTACTACGACTACAACACCTTCGACCACAACGGCGTGCTGGGCGCGCACCCGCGGCTGGAGAACCTGCTGGTGGCCGCGGGCTTCAGCGGGCACGGCCTGCAGCACTCTCCCGCCGCGGGCAGGGCCCTGGCCGAGCTGGTGGTGCGGGGCCGCTTCGAGAGCCTGGACCTGCGGCGCCTGGGCTGGGCCCGGCTGGAGCAGGGGGAGCCCCTGCGGGAGCGCGGCGTGATCTGACGGGGCGGGGAGGGGGGCGTGGGGCACGGCCTGGCACCCCCTCCCCTGGCTGGAAGAGCGTCCTGGAGGAATAAAAGGGCTGGGTGAGCAGCTAACGGGGTGCAGAGGTGAATAAAAGGGCTGGGTGAGCAGCTAACGGGGTGCAGAGGTGAATAAAAGGGCTGGGTGAGCAGCTAACGGGGTGCAGAGCTGTCGTGCTGCCCCCACCGGCACTGCCCATGTCCTGGCCCCAGTGTCCCCTGTGTGCCCCCACAACTGCAGTGTCCACATTCCCTCCAGTGTCCCCACCATGTTCCCATACCCCCAGTGCCATGTGCCCAGTGTCCCCACTACCCCCTGTTCCCCCCAATATCCCTGCTGTGTTCCCATACCCCCAGTCCCAGTGTCCCCAGTATCCCCCCAGTGTCCCTATTATGTTCTCATTCCCCCAGTATCCCCGTTATGTTCCCATACCCCCAGTGCAATGTCCCCTGTATCCCCCCCAGTATCCCTGCTATGTTCCCATACCCCTAGACCCAGTGTCTCCAGTATCCCCCAGAGCACCCAGCCCCAGTTAGCCCTGTTATCCCCCCACTATCCCCATTATACCCCACTATTCCTAGTATCCCTCAGCCCCAGTTAACCCCAGTATCCCCCAGTTTTCCCCCATATCCCCAGTTTTCCCCAGTATCTCCAGTTATCCCCACTATCCCCCAGTTTTCCCCAGTATCCCCAGTTTTCCCCAGTATCCCCGTTATCCCCCAGTATCCCCGTTATCCCCAGTATCTCCCAGTTATCCCCAGTATCCCCACTATTCCCAGCGCTCCCAATTCCCCCTCCCCCCGCACGTGGCGCTCTCCCGCCGCGCGCACGCGCAATGCCGGACGGAGGGGGCAATGGGGCGGTGCGCGGGAGGTGGCGCACGCGCAGTGCCGGGGAAGGCGCCGCTACAGCCAAAGGGGCGTGGCCATCGCCAGCGGGGCGTGGCTTGTGCCGGGGCGGGGCCTGCGGCAGTGCCCGTGCGCGGCGCATGCGCGGTGGGCGCGGCCGGGCCGTGTGAGCCGGGCCCGTCCCGCCCGTCCGCCCCGGCCCGGCCCGGTGAGTGCGGGGGGAGCGGAGGGGCAGGGGGGGGACACACACGGGGACAGCCCGGTGAGTGCCGGGGGACAGGGGGGGACACACACGGGGACAGCCCTGGGAAACCATCCCGGAGGGAACGGGAGAGCTCTCGCCTCACACACGCACGGGGAGCACCCTGGGGTACAATGTGCCCCCCCAGTCCTGGGGCCACACGGCCCCCCGTGAGCGGGACGGGGGTTCTGCCGGGAGTAACTCCTCGGGAAACCCGCAGGGCGGTCCTGGCCCCGCAGCTCAGGCCCCGCCGGGGTTCGACTCGCAATAACCAAAGTACTCCCCTTTTTTAATAATTATTTGTAGTTGTTCGTGCCCCGCTGCGGCGGCACCGCCGTGCCGGGGCTGGTGGCTCCGGGGCCGCCGGGAGCTCCTCCGGGGAGCGGTCCGAGGGTTAGTCCGGGGGGGAGAGCACGGGGTTTTCCCTTTGATTTCCTTGTTTTTATTCCTGTGGTGCTTTCCAAGGGCTGTCCCGCACACCCTGTGGAAGGAGCGGGACGAGGCCGCTCGCAGGCCCTTTGGAGGAGGGTGGGAGTGCCGGGAGTGCTGTGGGAGCTGCGACTGGAGCTGATTCCCGCGGTGTTCCCTTCCCGCAGGCTCCACCTGTTTCCCGTCTCTCCAGGATGAGAGAGGCCTGGGCCCGGCTCTCCCCCTCTCCCTGTAGCTGATAGTTTGGGAAGCAGAGGTGATGCTGGAGTCGAGATGGCCGACAGCGTGAGAACCTTCCTTCATGACCTCGTCAGGGTGAGCTCCCCGTCCCTGCAGGAGCATCTTCCTTCCCGGGATTTTAAGGGAAAGGGGCTCCAGGTGTATTTTAACACCGTTGTTGGTGTGTCTGTTGCTGCTGAAGCTCTGACAGGTTTCCCTTGGGCACCAATCAGTGTATAATATGTTGTTGTTGTTACACTAATTCTCATTATTAAAATGTGTATCTATATACATAATATATGTAGTATATATAAACTGTATAATACATATGAAATTTATACATGAAATATATAAATAATATATATTATACATATATTAGAATATAATATAAATAAAATGTATACTATATAAAACACTATATGAAATATAGACTATATAAAATATAGTTTAAATAAAATGTGTTATATGTACAAAATATGCATATAGAATATATAAGTAAAATGTATGATACACATAAAATAGATAGTATGTATAAAATACATATAAAACATACTGTACATTTCATATATCATATTTTACATTTATAATATATAAATATTCTCTATTGATATATGTTAATATATACATTATGTTAATATTACTGTTAATATATTGTTACAGTTGATTATACTTAATATACAAAAAGTATTATTAGTGATACTATTATACAGTATATATAATATTTTATAATGATATATAATATCTTATATATTGATAATATATAATATGATCTCTATGATATTATATGTTAATAATATATTATAACTATGACCATGGCAGCTCTGTCCCAGCAATTAGGGCTGTGTGACTTTGCTGCTCCCACCCTGCCTTCCATCACCCAGGGGTAAATACAGCCTTAGAAACTGTGCTGTGGCACTGAGCAACAGCTCGTGCCCAGAAGTAACTTGTGTTGGGAGACTCGCTGGGTTTGATCAGACACCTGTGGAGGGAGGAGTTATGTCCTTTGCTGGTGCTCCCACACCATCTTCCCCGTGTGGAGTGAAGGAAAACTTCTGGGCACATTCCTGGTAACAGGTTTGCACTGATGTGGCTGGTGGGAGGATGTTTCTGGGATGAGGGCTGATGCTTTTATTTGTGAAGGAGTAAGCATCAAACCCATATGTACAGTCAGACTTTGCACATCCCAAATATTTGTGTAATTCCACTTTATTGGCCTCAAAGTGCTGGCAGGGGATGAGGGTCCTCCTGCCAGACAGGGCTGGGAGAGATCCGACTCTTTGGCTTTTGCCAGGGTTATAAATAGTGCAGATTGGATGAGAAATCACACCTTTACAGAGAAACCACTGCTGCTCCTGGAGATGCTGGAATGAGCAGTGATTTAGGTCACCAGGCCATGGAAAAGAGGTGGTGTTGCTGCTCCAGGCCTTGGCTCCGGCTGAGCCGGGTGCTGCTCACCCAGGGAGCTGGGCCAGCCCTGGAACCAGGAGGGCTCTGAGGCACATCCCATTCCTCCTCTCTCCTTGTGCTGCAGGGAATTAAGGACTCCATCTGGGGCATCTGCACCATCTCCAAGCTGGACGCCCGGATCCAGCAGAAAAGGGAAGAGCAGAGGCGCAGGAGAGCCAACAGTGCACTGGCCCAGCGGAGGTTTCACATGGAAGAGAAGAAGCAAGAGAAGTGAGTACAGGGCCCAGCGAGTCAGAAATGGGGCCATTCCCTTCTCCTCAGGTAGCCAGAGCCAATAAATGGGAAGAACGTGGCATGAAACTCCCTTTTTCCACTGGGTAATGGAGCTGGAGCTGGGAGATAAGAAGCTGGGCCTTTTATGTTGTTTGATAATTAGTCTGAATTGCCACTGGAAGGTGTGGAGCTGTGCACACTGAAAGAACGTGGATTTATGGGTTTCTTTTCCTCCTGAATCCTCGTGCCACTGCAGATCCGTTGTTTTTTCTGGTAGTCAAAGGATCAGGGAAGAAGCAGCAGCTCAGATCCATCTCTTTTCCCCAGCCCTGCGGCGTGTGGAGCTGCAGAATCTCAGTGGCTCTGGAAATGCCAGAATTATCTCCACGTGGGAGCAAAGAGCATCTGTTCCCATGTCTGACTCCCAAACTGCTCTGGGGTGTGTCTCTGCTGCCCTGATTACACTGGGCTGGCACCTCACACGGTGTTTTGGGGAATGTCTGAGACACTTCCCAATTTTTCCGCCCAGCTGTTTGGTCGGCTGGCTGAAAGGGGAAAGAAGAGTCTCCCTTGATCCCAGTCCTCCCTAGGTGTTCACATGGGCTGCCTCTGAGGAATAATATAAATTTTAGGGGCACTAAACAGCTGAATTTTGCTGGTTTTCATTGTAACAAAGTCCCTTTGGTAGGAGGAGCTGACTGGGGAAGTGCTGCAGAGTCCCACAGAACTGCTCTTGCAAGTCCAAATAGCCACACCAAAACCACCCTGAGCTGAAACAGTCTTTGCTGAGACCAAAAAACACCCCAAACTCTCTAACTTTATTGTGGCAAGAGTTTAAGGAGAATGATGCCTGAGATCTCCAATAAATGCTTAAAAATCTGGAAGAAAGCTTTGCTTTTCTTCCGTTTCAGTGCAGATTGTGGGAGTTAATAAAGGCTGAAAGTCTCCCTGCTGTAAATCTTGGACCTGGTGTGAGTCTGCATGGGGATTCCTCCCAGGATTCCCTTTTGGATAAAATCAGGTGCACCACTGTGGTGGAGCTGGCTCTTGGAGACACTTCCAAGGTGTCCCAGGTGTGGGGCAGCTTTGTCCAGGTGCTGGGACATTAACAGGTCTCTCTCCTGCAGTGAACCCCGGATAGTGAGCCGGATATTTCAGTGTTGTGCCTGGAACGGAGGTGTCTTCTGGGTACGTGGAGACTTCTTATTGTTCATGTGTTTTATTTTAAAACCCCTGTGAAAACCCATGTTGTGCTCCAGCCCTGATGCTGAGAGGGGTGAGGGCTGTTGGCGTGGCTGCAGGAATTGCCAGATGTTCCCATCCCAATGCTGTATTTCAGGGGATTCACACTGGGATATAGGACCATAGGCTCGCTCAGGAGACCCCCACATGAACTCATGAGCTGCTCTTCCAGCTCTCCACCAAAACATCCTGCTCTGCTGCAGCCTGGGATACTGCTTTACCAGTTGGATATTGATGTCCTAAAGACATTTCCTTGGCTTTGACCTTCCCGTGGCTGTGTCATGAGGCTGCTCCTAGTGGAGACTGTCTCATAAATCACTGGCTTTGTTTTCCTATTACACTGGGGCAGAGTGCAAGGGATGTTCAAGTGCTCGGCTGTAGATTGTGACTGTATTTAAGCAGAGATCCTTGTT